ATCCAAAACTTTTCTCCTGAAAGAATTATTTTTTCCGTTTTAGACAGGTTTTAAAAATAAAAATAATTTTAAAATTTTAATTTTAAACATATTGTTCTTTAGCTTAACAATAGCCAAGGTTATTTAAAGATTAACCTTAAAATATGAATTTTTTTTCCTGCAGTTTGTGCGTGTTTAAAGAAATATTTTAAAATATGCATTTAGATATTTAAATTAATATTCATTAACTAAAAATCTAAAAGATTTTAAAATAAAATTGTCTGTCTCTATACTCTTGTAAATTTATTACACACATTTATTAATGATCATAAATGACATCACTGATTTGTGACTGATAATCAGCAATGATCATAAATGACGTCACTGATACATCATTAAAAGTCGCAAAAATTCGAGAAAATAATTTATAAGTTATATATTTAAAAATTTAAATCGATTTATAAATAATTTCTACGATTAAATTGTTATAGTTTGTGTATAGATCCTTGGTTTTGTGTAAACACCGAACTGTAGAAAGGTAACTTTTAAGAACGATAGAAAATGTTATATTTTATTTTAAAAAGCTTTAAAAAGTTATCAAAATTTACAGTTAAATATAAAGTTTATTAGGTAAATAATTATTTATTTGACATTTAAATTGTTGGGTGTATACACGTTTAAACTTAGTCTCTACAGCGCTGACGGTAAACGTGTTAACATTAGTAAAGGGCGATTCTTTATCGACGTATCTACTTTATAAAATTACTTTACAGGCCTATAGGCTGATAGAGTATCAGTCGTAAATCTATAAAGAAAAAAAAAAACAAAGTTCAATAACTCGAACAAGTTTAGAAAATTAGTAGAATATAAGAAGAAAGAATAAAAGGTTAAGTTAATATCCGTCAAGCGAGCCAATAGGTATTGAAACTGTATTTTTGAACAGTATATTTTCTCCAGGCAGAGAAACTAAATTCAGTTTGTCTCGGTTAGAATTCTTTAAACATCTGACGTTTGGCCACCTTAGTATATATATTACCGTCTAAAAGGTACACTGCGGTTTAATCTGAAGGGTGAAAATCAAATTACTTGTCGATCAATACTCTTCAAGCAATACGACAAAATGGCCTTGGGGAATATAGTTTGCTCTTCACATTGAGCGGTCGATTCAATTAGTTCACCCAATGCGGTTTAGCAGTTTGTCATAGCTCCAACAACATAAACTGATTTATCACACCTAGCTTGATTTCGTTACAGACTTAAACAGATTAAGGACTCCTTATTATACCATGAAAACATAGACCGAGTGTTGACACGAAACCAGTGATTGACAGGTTAGCCGTGCATGGCTTCGGGCAATTGCGAATTTCCGTAGACTGTGTTGATCTTCATTAAAACATGTATCTGATAATCATGTTTACACTATGTCCAATGACACTGTATATCCTCTGTAGCTGATTCTGCGCCGCTCTTTACGCTCATAATCTGATTATATGGGTAACACTTAACTTTAATCAAATATGTTGTTCTTTTTTCCAGGATTTAGTTTTGTCATTTAATTACATTCACACAAATTTTATTTGGATATTAACATAGTGTATCTAAGAAGTTATTTTTTTGCTTCCTTCCCCCCCGTAGAAAAATTTAACTTGGGTTTTTTTCCCTTCCTCGGTAATGAAAGAATGCAACCGTTTGGTAATTATATAAAAATTGATTTACTTAAGTTTTAATACTTTTTTAGCTATGGGAATTATTTATGTTTTACTCGAGTTAAGTTTTTTTTTTATTTCCTTTCTCCATGTTTGATTTGAGTAAACTTAACTCTACGCGTTTTTTTAAGCAAGAAAATTGTGTTAAAAAGACAAAAAAGATGTATAAATTAACAATTTTTATCTCTGGTAAAGAATCGAAGAAAAGATGTTGGAATTTTACACGTACACAATTTTTTCTCCTTCAATTTTTATGTTAAAGCGTAAAGGAAAAGTTCTAAAACGTAACGGAGTTTGCAATATTTTATCAGTATAACTTGTTAGTTTGTGTTTTTCTTTGGAGAAAAAACCCGCCATGTTGCTTTTGGCAATAGATCGATGATGATAAGATATATATAAAGAAAAATAGTTGAAAATCTCAACTCGCTTCTATCATTTCGTATTAAAATATTATGTTAAATTTGATTTTTGTTGATATTTTGTAACTCCATTTATCAATTTAAATAGCTCTTTAAATCATTTTTATTTTCGAAAATTTTCTATGCATTTGAAGCGACGTATTTTTATTTATTTATTTTTTTTGAAAGAATTTTAACTTAAATTTTTGAATTAAATTCTATTTTAAAAATTAGATTAACTGTATTATAATGCTTCCCTTCATATAATGTAGATCTTTAAAATAGATTTAAACGTGTCGATAAATTTTTTTTTGTATATTTTTACTATAAAAATACAATTTAAAAATGTTGAGAATTTTATTTCTTTTTCTTTTTTTTTTTTTGAAAATTTTTCGTTTTATTAAATTAGGTTTGGTAAAAATTAATAAATTATCGGTTTTATTTCGGTTTTCTTAGAGAGAAAATCGCTTAAACCTTGTAAAATTTTGATGTAAAAATTCATTTCCCTCAATTTAAACGCCATTATGTGTTGAAATAAGTCCTTTAGTATCTTAAAGTTATAGAAATTAATAGAAATACCGGTGTATATATAATAAATAATAGAAAAATCTGTGTGTCTTATAGACCGCGAGACTTAAGAACGTCGTGACGACAGAGAATGCATCAGGTTCGAATAGAAGAAGAAGAAAATGTGTAGTGAATGAATGGGCAGATGGGCCTCATATCTTGTACCATCTGTCTGTGGCTAAGTAGCGTTCCTTGTAACTGTAGGAACCCGATCTCTTCTACTCGACACATTGTTGACTTTGTTCTGTTTGTCTCAATCCCGACGTGACAACTTCACTTTACAGTCGATGAAACACCCATTAGTGGGTCATTCAATATCAGCTTTTATATAACAGCCGACACTTTTTTCCCTGTACACAAAAAAAAATTGACTTTCCACCATAAATTTGTTTGTCCGATTGATTACAATAGCTTCGTATGTGGCCTTTGTTAAGTGTGTACGATTTACAATTGGTACAGCAACATTTTATCATTACACTCAATGCTTAAAAGTATATAAATAGTATTATCAGGTGGCCCGTGTGCTCATGTTTACATTATGTATGTGCTAACGTGTTGGGCATTTATGGTTCTTTAACACGAGACTTCATCTAGTTTAATGGGAATGTCATTAAACATTTTTATTAACGATGCAAAATCTTACAATTTTGTTCCTTTCTCGAACCTGTATTTGAAAATTATAATCAATTATTTATTTATTTATTTATTTTTATAAAAATATTAAATTTCCATTATTCGTGAAATTATTTTTTATTTAAATGCTTTATTTTACTTTTTATTTAAAAATTGGATCAAATATTTGCATATACGGAAAGAAAATAGTAAAATTTTGATTTAAAGCTATAAAATTCAATAAAAATGTAGAATAATTTCATGTTATACAGGTTGGAAATGAGTGCAAATATATGCAGGATTTTGCTTCAATGCTTACTTAGATACAAAATTGAAAATCTATAATTTTTGTCTTACCTTCGTGTTTCGGTGGAATAGATGTTAAAATTCAAAATGTGAGAATATTATTTAAAATCTGAGCTCTATTTTTTTTTAAACATTTAACAGCAATGACATTATTGAGCGACACAAAACAGTGTAGACCACAAACAGTCGCAAAATAACAACGTTTGTTTCGAATTTTTTTTTGTGTGTGTGTTTTTAATTTTTTTCTGTTCTTGTTTGTGTTGTTTGCCAGGATCTTTCGGACAGATCTACAGCTTCTTGTATTCTGCTGTCTATTTTACTGGGTGAAGGGACATCCGGGCTAGATGCTTCTGTAAAATCTGCTGAAGAAGTTTGTTCTGTTGTTCCATCGGGGACTATGGCCAAACGGCAATGGACGCAACCGGGTGGACAACTCTGATAAGGTTGAAGAAGGAGGGCACTTCCACCCAGTGTGTAGGCCCCAGGGAATGGCACAGATGTATAACTGGGAAACCCAGGTGCAACATTATCCGGCAACCTCGGAACCGATGTCAACAGTGCGGTCGAACGAGCCAAAAATCCTCCATCCCCCAGTTCGGTCATCAAAGAATCTAATCCGACCGGAGCGGGTTGAGACATGGAGTGCATATTGCTAGATCCGATGAAAGATGGGCTTTGATGAGCAGCGGGTGGAGCAAATGCCGATTTGACTGAACCTAGAGTCAACCGAATGGGTTCTCTGTTATCTGACGTATTGAAGGTATGCGTGACTGTCGGACCGGGTTGTTGACGTAGCAACAAAGCATCATTGGCAGATAGAAAGTGTTCTATCGTCTTGACCAAGTCGCCGTTGCACCCTTGAAGCACCAATTCTAGAACAGTTCGTTTCTGAGTTGGAAATATCCGACTAAGTATCTCTAGCGGGCTAAGTCTTCCTGGTCTGAAATCAGCAGGAGTCGAAGCTTCTGCCGAAGAGGGATTCTTCTTATTATTATTGTTAGTGTTTGTAGGTTTTGGTTTAGGTTTATTCTGTCCTACTTCTATTGAAGAAGTTGTGGTAGGTTCTGGTGCGCATCTCGGATTAGTCGAATCTGAAAGAGTAAAATATCGAATTAACGAAGCATAAGAGAAGTTTTTCGTTATAAAATTAATTTCTACATTAAAAGTTTTAATTGAAAACATCATTTATCAGTAAATTATTTTTGCTATTACTTTACACGCAGATTAATCCTAAAATCAGTGACAATTCGTAATCTGGATGTAATTTTTAAACTCACTATAGTATACCAATTTGCCTTACACGCTGACTATAAAGTTTATAGTGATTAGTTTATTAGTTAAACATACTTAGACTTATCAATATATTTACAGTTTTAAGATATAAAATCATACTTATTGTAGGCCAAGCTATAGATTTATAAACCTTTACAAAATCCTTAGAATTAAATAAGTAACGAACCTAGTAAAATTTATTATTTATTTAGTTCTAGAAATTTTGGCAAAGCTTTATAATCCATGAAAAAAGCATTATCATGTAATGTAACGAGCCTGTGATAAATTTTGAACTCTTATTAAATCTTTGAAGCATGCAGTAATTGAATGGAACTAATAATAATATTTAATCTTAGGTTTTATAGTTACAGGGCCTATATTCTTGTATATAAATCTACGTTATATTGAATACATTTCACGTAATTATAGATAAAATAATGTTTCGAAAATATAACTTTACTACTTTATACCCTCTATGTAAGAACATTAGATCTAACGGGTTAGTATCCATTAACGAATTTTAAATTAGTTAAATTAGTTTAACTATGAAAGGCTCTGGATAAATTCAAGTCAAAATTGCTTAAATTATAAGTTTATTTTACTTGGAACAAATGAAATTTATTCCATTTAATAGGCTTAAGATGCTGATGAACCACAAATTTAATCCTGAATGATCAAATTGATTATATGTACACAGAAAATTTCAATATTTTATATTAATAATTCAATTTTTTAAATTTAACGAAGGTAGTTTAAATAAATGAATTAAAGTTTTTTTTTTCTATTAAAAATACATTTAAAAAATAAAGATTATTCCTACGGAATTTCGTTTATGGATAAACTCTTCGTGTGATTTTCGCTTAATTATTAAGGACATAAAAGGGATTGTTAATAAAAATCCATCTTAGTGTTTTCCTTTTTGTCCAAGTCCAATTTCCGAGTGTTGTTTGTGTAGGTCCATTTCTATTCTGTAGTCCAATCAGCGGATGACTGACAAATGGCTACTGTTGACCCACGGAAAGAGAATCCCACTAATAGAGGGTTTGAGTACATAGAGTAGTGGAATCCACGTGGATGACTAACATCCCTCTAGGCCCAGAACGTCCTAATTTCGACTCGGAGAAAGCCTTGTTCTCTCTGCTACACATAATCCAATCCGGTACAGGATATGTTTGCTAGATACTCGCTGTCTGGGGAGAACTCTTGATTGTAGTCGATATGAAGCCGACTTCTTTATCGAGATTTTCGATTTCTTTCTTCTCGACATGCTTTCCACCGGCGGCTGGTTTTATAAAAATATCTAAAAAAATTCACTTATCTATTGCCTGTTGCTGATTTTAAGATACCAAAAATCTATAGGAGAATTCCTTCTGTAGATTATAAGTTACTTGTTTATACAACAGATTACTCGGATTGATGTTTACATAAACAAATATAAAATTTGAAAATTTTAAATGGATATAAAACCAAGAGATGTAATACATAAATTTTTAACATTTTAAAATAAATTGTAAGGAAAAAATATTATTTTGACGCTTAACAATAATAGCACTCCTCAAGGAATTGCTTATAAAATATTTTTAAACATTTATTGTAAATTTAATTAAATTTTTTTTAATTATCTTAAAACCTTTTTTTCATTTAACTTAATTAAAACTATTTTAAAATTTAATTTTAAGATTTTATACTTACGAATTCCTTTCTGAATTTCGAAATGACTTTAGAATTAAATAATAAGAATTAAACATCGATATAAAATAGATTCGTTCTTACACTCGAGGCCTAAAAGAGGTGAAATGAAATCAAGTCTAATCACAAATATGGTGGATCATCACTCTCCGAAACGTATAAAAGTACACGAATAAAATAATTAAAAGTAGAGCTTTATAGTCTACATCACATTTTTATGAGAAAGATTAAATGGTCCTGCTGGCACGTGTTTGTACAAATAGGATCCAAGGTCTATTCATATAGCCTAAACGGTCTATCTAGGTTGTTTATATCATATAATTCTCTAATTTTCTAACTTAATTATTTATTTTGGCTTCCGTTTCGGTTAACAATTCATACATTTGAAATCAAAGCTTTAAATATTAGACGACAGTTACTAAATTATATCAAATTACATGCACTTGTAGCAAACATTGTCGACATTGTTTTCGAAAACTGTTATCGCTCACTATTACAGCGATTATACTGATAAAACTGTTGTTAGAATTGAGACAAATGATATAGATAAAAAGCATTAGTTTGTTAAAAGTCTTACTGGATAAATAATAATTTTATTATTTAAAACTGCTACCTACTGTACAGGATATTAGTTATGGAACTTTGGCCTATGGATAAGTTTGTAGAGATGAAGTTCAGAGATTTTTATGCTAATAATATATCACCATAAATAAATAGCCTAAATAAATAATATTTAAAGAAATAATAATAATTTAACTTAATATTTAAATGATTATCCTTCTTTCTAATTAACTAGAGCTGTTTTCTTTTATTAAGCTTCTTTTGTAGAAAAATTATTCCTTTATTAGTATTGGGCTGCAATTTGAAAAAATTGTAGACCTATAAATTTCTACCGTGTGTCTGTCCTTCTTTAATCTCGAGAACGAAGTTAGAAACATGAAGGTCAAGACTAGATATAGAAAGATTAGGGGCATGCGGTCCTAATTAATTACATAAGAACTTCCGATGCAAAGTAAATGTCACGTTATTTTAATCCAAAACTTTTCTCCTGAAAGGAGTTAGATGACTGGCACTACTCGATTGTTGACAGAAAAGTATGATGTACTGTACAGGGGGCAAGACACTACTAATTTGAGATGGCAAGCATATATTTTAAATAAAATAAATGAAAAATATGATTAAAAATTGCAGCCCGGCATTGTGACGATGCCACAATAAATAATTGCTCGTTATTATTAGAACAATGGACAGCACAGGAGACTGAAATGAGAACATGAACAAAGAAAAGATGTTCAGGAATTAATAAAGCTGGCTAAATGGAAACCAAAAATAAAAAGACTATCCAGAAAAGCGAAGAAAAGATTCAAAATACGCAATAGGCAAGGATGAGGATATATCTAGTTGCAACACAGGATAACTCTGAAGTGAAGAAGAATAACAAGATTATTATAAACACATAACTTAAAATAATCAACTTTTTTGCCAAAATTTAGTAATTTAATACTAGAATATTCTTTTAAAATTTGTCTACAAAAACACTATTCTTTTTGATAATTTCTTTCATTATAATGAAATATAAACGATCAAAATAGAATAATTAGGCCTAGAAGAGATAATTTCTTTCAAACTTTATACCATTTACTAAAATTTCTTTAAAATAAATCAATACATTCAGATTATAATTTATACTTTAAAACTATATAAATTATTTGATTCGAAAGCATTCAAATTCTGATTTATTTTATTTTATTTATGTTAATTTTCTAATTAATAAACATCATTATCTAAAATTCTATTATTAATTACAGTTAATATTTAATTTACAAGTTAATAATTTAATTTGCACGCATCCTATTAAAATATAACTACAAAAAATACTTTTAAGCAAAATTAAGTACGAATATTTATGTTTTATTGATATAATTTAATTTTTTTTAAGTGTAGAATTCGTAATTACAAAATTTCACTTCAAAGATGGCTTATAAATTTATCACGAAGATATAATTAAAATATAGCCATAACAGTTAAATTTTATATGAATTTTTTGGCATGGAACACCTCAATAATAAATAAATATTTGGATTAAAACGAAAAGGTCAAAGCATTTATCATAAAATTCGAAATAACGACGGAAGTTTAGTAGTTATAAATATGATTTTTCCCTATTTATAATTAGCAATTAATTAATTCTATAAATGATTATATATAGGCTTAGTCTCAAATATGGTACTGTTATTTTTTTTATACTCTTAGAGAGGGTCTCTCGTTCCTATTTTTCGGGATTTGTCCGATTTGGAACACTTCGTCTCGATCGGAAAATTTTCCCCTAAATATCCCATTTATTTATTCCTACTAAAAATATTACGATCTGAATTAAAAACAGTCAAATAAGAATTGTAGGCGGTAGGTGTATACCTACGCCACGTGTCCATACATGCGTACACTTTTAGTAATCTATGGCAGATTGTTAAAGGTGAACACCTTTAACAATCTGCCATAGATTACTAAAAGTGTACGCATGTATGGACACGTGGCGTAGGTATACACCTACCGCCTACAATTCTTATTTGACTGTTTTTAATTCAGATCGTANTACTGTACTATACACGTATGACTTGCTTATTTCAACTAAGTTTGTGTTGGAAATCCGGTTGCTTCCATTGTGGACATGAAAAATAAAGATCCTCTTGGTCCCGTAGAGCGGAAAAAGTAATAAATAAATAAATAAATGAAAGGTTGACTATTGCCATATTGTAACCATTGATCCGTCGTCGATGAGTACACAAAACTATCGACGATTTTGGAGCCGTCATTACACGGTCCAACATGCGTACACTTTTAGTAATCTATGGCAGATTGTTAAAGGTGAACACCTTTAACAATCTGCCATAGATTACTAAAAGTGTACGCATGTTGGACCGTGTAATGACGGCTCCAAAATCGTCGATAGTTTTGTGTACTCATCGACGACGGATCAATGGTTACAATATGGCAATAGTCAACCTTTCATTTATTTATTTATTTATTACTTTTTCCGCTCTACGGGACCAAGAGGATCTTTATTTTTCATGTCCACAATGGAAGCAACCGGATTTCCAACACAAACTTAGTTGAAATAAGCAAGTCATAC